GAGGATAGATTTTCAGCTATTGTGTTCTCCGTATTTTGCTCACTATGGTATGCTTCTTCTTTTTTTTTTTTTTTTTGTATAATTACACTTACTATTATGTAACTTATTACAAACTTTGTTCATTATTACAGTGAACTGGGTTGATCATAGCAAGACACTTAGGGAACAAGGTATAGATGAGACAGAAATCCTCCTTTTGCGAAGAAAATACTTCTTCTCTGATCAAAACATTGACTCAAGAGATCCCGTCCAGCTTGGTCTTCTCTATGTACAAGTAAGTGCCATGGTAATTTTGTTTTGATACTATTAGATATTGATTTTTAAATACAAATGCTATTTATTTCATTATCAGAATGTTAGATGAGTAACAATTTTATAATATTGTTTAATCTGAATGTGGTAATAGATGTGCCATTATTTTGAATACTTATTTTTATTGTCTTCCCTACATTTCTTCTGTAGTGCCGAGATGCCATCCTTGATGGGACTCACCCAGTGACACTCGAGCGAGCTTGCAGTTTTGCAGGAATTCAGTGCCAGATTCAGTTTGGTGACCATGTCGACTCCAAGCACAAACCTGGATTTTTGGAGTAAGTTAGTCTTAAGAAATTTGTTAGTTCATGTGGATCTGTACAGCCTTTTTTTCTATTGTTAAAGGATTTAGCTTTTTATGTGAGATAATACAATATAATGAGGTGAAGTTTATATTGAAGTTAACAAGGTATGTATTAAAACAAGAACAAATACTTTCAAGTTTTGAGTATGACAATTGCATAGTCATAATGTCTTTTCCTTGATTTATAGATGATTAGTGCAGTAGATTAATATGATTCATTAGGAGAAGTTTATACACTAAATGTGCAACATTATTTTATTTCAGCCTGAAAGAATTCTTGCCTCAGAGTTATGTTAAGACAAAGGGCATTGAAAAAAAGATTTTCCAAGAACACAAAACACATGCTGGCAAGAATGAGCTAGATGCCAAGGTTAGTACCAGTGATGATGTCAATAAAAATCACTAGTGGGGTTCTGTTTGTTACTGGACTATAGTCTTAATTATAGCACATGCATTAGCAGAAATCATTTTTTTCCTCAGGTCACATATGTGGGTTTAGCTCGCTCACTGAAAACATATGGTGTGACCTTCTTCTTGGTTAAGGAGAAAATGAAAAGTAGGAACAAATTGGTACCACGACTTCTTGGAGTGACAAAAGATTCAGTGTTGCGTCTCGATGAGAAGACCAAAGAAATCCTCAAGACATGGCCTCTAACTACTGTGCGCCGATGGGCAGCATCTCCAAACACATTTACATTGGGTCAGTGATAAGTGTGCAGATTTCCAGATTATAAGTAGTTCATATAGATCTTAGATAAGAAAATTGGTGATGTTTTCCATATTATTGCAGTTATCTCCTTTTGAATTTTTCTTATGATTATTGATTTAATTTCTTGAATAATTTTACAGATTTTGGTGACTACTCAGACCAGTATTATTCAGTACAGACTACAGAGGGTGAACAGATTTCTCAGTTGATTGCTGGCTACATTGACATCATCTTGAAGAAGCAAAGAGCAAAAGATCACATTGGCATTGAGGGTGATGATGGGTCTGCAATGGTGGAAGATACTGTCTCTCCTATTAAGTAGGTTTTACAGGATTATTGCTCAGTGAGAAAATTTGCTCCATATTTTCCATTTTAACAGATTTGCAGGAGAATGATTTGTGCCTTTAATAAGACCACACTTTACCAACTCACAGGGCCAGCATCATCCAACATGGAGACACAGAGGTGCACCATGCAGAAAGGGAGTCAGTGTCCAAACCAGCTGTAATGAGGCCAGGAGTGAATGGTAAGTAATATGTGGCTATAAGGATGTAGACAACAAAAGGGCATAGGAAATTTGCAAGAGTATTAGTTTATTGGGTTTATTTTCTTGCTCTTTGAAAAGGTTTTCTCTTCCCATTTAGTAATTTACAGTTGCTCTACTATAATATCCTGAGCCCAGTTTCATTTTTTATCTTAGATATAGATATTGCAGAATTAAGTGGAATGCATTTTTATTTTGTATATGTTTTAATAATACTGTTTGTATAGTGATTTTTTCATCTTTGGAGCTTATCATCAGATATTTTTCTCTTTTTTTGCATGAAATTCATAGGTGACATTTTTTACTAAATTTTTGTCATTTAGGACTGGGACATTGATAGTACTAAACAAAGATACTATAACAATAAAATCGTTTGATTTTTTTGTGATATATATATATATGTATTTTTTTTTTCAAATGTTCTACTTACATAAGAATAGTGAGACATTACTGCTTTTGCTTACATTGATTAGTTCTAGTCACCACAAATATGATCTGTTTTGATACCTAGACAATGCTGTCAACTTCAGTAGTCCCATTCCTAATACAAGTACATGTTTTCTTGTATGCATGTCTAGAGGATTTTTTTAAATATGCAGCTGGCACTTAGTTATTACCTGATATATAGAAT